ACACTCTTAAAGGACCACTCTAGCCACCCAGACCACTTCAGCTTAATGAAGTGGTCTTGGTGCCAGGTCCTTCTAGGGTTAACCCATTGTTTTATAAACATAGCAGTTTCAGAGAAACTGCTATGTTTATCAATGGTTAAGCCTTCCCCCAAAGCCTCTAGCAGCTGTCTCATTGACAGCCGCTAGAGGCTTGCGTGCTTTTCACTGTGAAAATCACAGTGAGAGCACGCAAGCGTCCATAGGAAAGCATTATAAATGCTTTCCTATGCGACCGGCTGAATGCGCGCGCAGCTCTTGCCGCGCGTGCGCATTCAGCCGACGGGGCGGATCCGGAGGAGGAGAGCTCCCCGCCCGGCGCTGGAAAAAGGTAAGTTTTAACCCCTTTCCAGAGCCGTGCGGGAGGGGGTTCCTGAGCCACATATGCATCACATTACACCACAAACACAACACGACTAAAACCGACCTTATTACACAATACCACACCACGACCAGCTCACTCTACACACACGCAATACCACAAGCAGGCTCCAAACACATGCACAATACTCTTTCCTGGCCTTTTTGTCTCCTGGTATCCATTTATAGAGACACCAGAGACAAGTTGCAAGGAAACACAGTGCAAGCATGTTATTAAATTTGCTTGCACTGTGCAGAACAAATACAGGACTTTTTTTTCATGCTAGAGCTCTTCAGCAGAGCTCTGCGCATGGTCTGCCCTGGAAGAGCATTGAACCAACATGCTCACTTTGAGAGGAGGCATGTTTGTCATTGGTGATGACAAAACACACCTCCTCTGCCCCGCCCCCTTTTTAGTGGGCCGCTGTGTTAAAAAAATGCCCGGGCCGAATTTTTCTCCCAGTCCGGACCTGGTATTTCCCCTTCTGCCCCCACAAATTAGCTTCATACAGCCCACCTCCCTTATCAGACAGTCTCCTAGTCACTTTAAAACTAATATTTTGCTTATCTCTAGGTAGCTAATGCACATTCCTTAAATCTGTCTCTCCTGTGATAATTAGTATTTCCACAGTCCATTTCACTTCTCACTGCACAGCTTTCTTTAAAGGGACATGCATCACTTTGAGACAACTTTTTTTTTTTCTCATCATTAAATATTTCTTAAAATCTTAACACACACAAAAATCCTCTCCAGATACTTAGTCCACAAACAGTTATAAACTAAAATATTATAGTACATTGAAATCGAAGTGGAAACATTTAGGCAAACATGGCCAATTTTGTATTAATTCTACAGATCTGTTAACAGATGTATATTTTTTTTCAATACAATTCAAAATATATTCTATAAACCTGGGGAGTGTGACTTCTTGAAGGTTGGCTATGTCTTCAGTGCAGCTATATGAGAGTAAAATGTTCAAAAATCCTTTTAATTCCTGTCATTTCACTCTCACTTTATCATTTACAACCCAGTTTGTTCAAAACATTAAGAAAATGCTGTCTCTCCCCTAGGTTTTTGTTGGGTTCAAATATCAATATGGATATTTCATTTTTAGGATGTGAGACTGGCTCTGTGATATATATTGATACAGCAGAGTGAATGCCAGGATAGCCTCCTGTCTGAATGTTGGAACTGTGCTGTTGGGAAACAATGTGTCCCTGTCCGTTTGTCTGTAACATTGTACATGGAATTTCCCTGCAGAAGGAGATCCCTCCTGTCTACTGCCACAATACAGTAATGTTTAGCCTGTACTTTCTCTTCCAGGCCATTCATTGGAATGCTATCAATGTGACTATGGAACCTGTCTAGTGCCTTCTAAGACGACCTGCGGGTTACTAGAGTCCTGTGTGACCTATACGTCCACAGCCGGTAAGGAATTCGTTTTCTGTTCTATCACTGCGTTGTTCACTCTGACTCTGACACTATTTTATATAAATTGAATCATGTCAAGTATTTAAAGTCTGTCTCTTTGTTTCAGCTGGGGTATCCTTAAAGAAGAAAGGTTGTGTGAGTCCAACTCAGTGTTTTACTGAATCCTCTGAGACATATCTTGGCTTAACCGTGAAAACCACTCCTTCCTGCTGTATTACCAACCTCTGTAACTCTGCCATCACACCCAGGCTGTCTGCTGTCACCGGGATAGCAGTTCTGGTTTCCCTGTGGTTGGTTAAACTATTCTGAGTTTGAGATGTAATGTCTGTATTTAAAGAAACCCAGACAAAATGATCATCAACCTACAATCTTCAGAATCCTTCTCCAATGCATAGAATCCCTCCCTTAATCACAACAGATCTGTGCAATTACTATTCACTGCCTAGTCTCTCATCTCCACAGAACAACCTTCCTTTCCTCTTGGCTCTTCTCAAATCTTCTTCTTTTCAGGAACTGGACAATCAAATAAAACTGATTTTCAGGTTTCTTAGTTTTTGTTTATAAAGGTTTTGTAAGTTTATCCTGTTGAGAAATTTACAATAAAAGTTTTATCTTGGGCGTGTTTGAGTTTACGTCACTGACTCATTGATAATCTTGCAAGTGACACTTTCCCACAAAGGAAATGGTTATTTTTGGATCCAGGAGTGCAGTAAGGATTCCTTTGAAGACTTAAATAGGTCGCATGAACTCTTAAGATTCTTTATTACCACGGGCATCTGGGAACAGTTCATAATGGGCCCTAGACTTCCAATCTACACTACTGTTTCCGATGCCTAAATGTAAGTAAGGTCTAGGCCAGGGATAGGCAACATTTGGCACTCCAGATGTTGTGGACTAAATCCACAACTGCTGGCAAAGCATCATGGGCTGTGTAGTCAAAGTCATCTGGAGTGCCGAAGGTTGCCTATGCCTGCTCTAGGCTGTAGTGTCCAATTCAGTATTATTTCTAATTTCTTTGCTCCTTCCACTTGGCTTGGCATTCAAGAGTCGTCAAGACCCTGATAAATACCAAACTGATTATTTATAGAATAGCATATAAGAACAAGGGAAATTGTCAGTCAGGGAAAACTACAAATCCCACGTAACATCACTGCTGCTGTTTCCTCGTTCACTGACTGCTTGTGGAATGGAAATAGACAAATTCAGAAGACAATTTGCCTTGCTTCTTTCTATTTCCTGTAACATGGACAGTACGTGAAATGTTAAAAACAAAATTATAAACACACAAAACAAAAACCAATGATATGTGCTGCTTAAAACACCTGTGAGATTAGAAACAGAATCATAGAATGTGACGGCAGATAAGAACCATTTGGCCCATCTAGTCTGCCAATTTTCTAAATACTTTCATTAGTCCCTGGCCTTATTTTATAGTTAGGATAGCCTTATGCATAACCCTAGATTAATCACTTGTATCTAACCACAAAGGTAAATAACCACCGTTAGGTGAATAGCACACACCGAATCAACAAAACAAAAAACTATATATATATATATATATAATCACCCACTTGGTAAGAAATAAACGAGAAAATAAAAACATATGATAACCTAATAAAATACGTATAAGAAATAGCCCCAGTGAATTATCTCAATAATGGCAAACTCACATTTCCTTGAGCCTAAATATACTGACTCAAGTATATAAGCGTAAAAAAGAACCTTCCTGGGTACTGGATAAACTTCCAAATATCTTATTGATATCCTTCAAATAAACGGAAATACCGCCAATCAGGATAAAATATAATTTTATTCCATAAAACTTAATTCAGTCTTACATGTAAGACGGAATGTAGCAGTTCCACAGTCACATACAATAAAATGTTAAAGCCAGCACAACGTGTCTCGATGAGGTCCGTTCTTCAGGTGCATAATTGAGCAATTCCCCAGCATTCCTTATATATAGACCAACCAATCGAGCTACAGCAGCATCAATTTAGAAATCCTCTCAAGAACGAATGTCCATATTAACAGTTTCACATCGGAAAAATCATACAGAGCCGATCAATAAACCTACATACGTAAAACATACTTTATTGGCATAAACACATCTCCAAAAAGGAAATAAATACACACGAAACCTTTTAAAAACAAAGTATTAATAAACCCATTAAATTCAAAGTGTATATTGAACCCTTTTGGGCTTAACGTTTCCATATTGAACATCCATCTCATGTCCACATTGCTAAGTCCTTTTATCATGGTCATCCACTCTCCAGGATTGATCAACTTGTTGGCTACCTATACAATTTAATTGTTTATGGTCCCTAATATGGAATTTAGCAAAGTGTAATGAGACCAAGTGGATAAGCTACTTGTTAGTAATATCTGTTATGTGTGCTCCTATTCTCACTCGGTGATCTAGTGGTCTTATCATATTGAAGACGGCATGTACATGTGAGTAAGTAAATAATATTTCCGGTGTAACCTAAAATAAAAGATTCTCTGAATGTGTGTGAGCTCAGCACAGGGAGGAGAGAAACAGCCAGAATGATTTAATGCAGCAGCCTAGGACAGGCAATCTGAAAAAGGAGAGATAACAGGTATGTTTTATTTCCAGAAACATAATTGATGCTCTCAGCAGGAGACAGGTTTAATGGAAATACATTAAAATACGAATACAGGTGAAATTAAGGTGCACTGTGCCTTTAAATACACTATTAACATTTAATATAGTGAGTAAAAACTATATATAAATTAATGAACACATTTATCTCAATAGCAAAAAAAGAATTAAAAAGTGCAAATGACTGTGTATATAAATATAAAAACCATTCAGATGAAAACTAACATAGTGTAAAACTGTCTAAAAAGAAAGAGTACCTCCCCCCCCTCCTTTCATATTATAATGCACATACACTTTAAAATAATCTGATTTCCAACACTGATTCTCTTAACCCCTTAAGGACGGAGCCAATTGTAAAAGTTATGATAAAAAAAAAAACCTGGAATTTGCGCTATATGTGGTTCAACCATAAATCACCTCTTTCATATGCACATACACTTATTATATATCATTTTGTTCAGGAGAAACAGGGCTTTCATTTCATATCAACTATTTATATGAAACATAATTTAATATGAATAAAATATAAAAAGTGTGAGAAATTAAGAAATGTTATTTTTCAAGTTCTGCATGGCATTTTAACCCCTTAAGGACACATGACGGAAATATTCCGTCATGATTCCCTTTTATTCCAGAAGTTGTGTCATTAAGAGGTTAACTGTGAATGTCATAATACCGTTGGATTTTACTGAAGTAAAATACACATATTTGTATTCAGAAATGTCTCACGAGTACAACAGTGCCCCCAATGTACAGGTTATATGTGTTTAAAGAAACTTACAGGGGTCAAATGTAGAGCTTTTCCCTTTCCCATGTTTGCACATTGAAATTTGCCAGATTGGTTTGCTGGGCCTATATTGCTTTACGCAATACATTGTATAACTCATTCTGCTGCTTTGTTACAGGACTCACCATTGTGACATGCTAAAAGAACTAAACTGGCTGTCACTGGAATCCAGACGCACCCTTCATCTTTCCAGCCTTGTGTTTGAGAGCTTTTCTGGGAAACTCCCGCCCTACCTGAGCAGAATGCTCTCCCCGGCTGTTCCAACCTCCTATAACCTCCAATTCAGTACCAGCACTTTATTTAGTCTACCTCAATACAAAAAGAAAGCAGCCCTTTCCTGCTTTTCCTACAGAGCAACGTAATTAAGGAGCGACTTTCAAATCTTCCCCAAGCCTAAAGTCCTTTAAGAGATCCCTCTCTACATACCTCATAACAGAATGCATGTGTCATGGTGGATTATATATTACATTTTGTAATATTGGTTTTGCTTTTCATTGTACCCTTTTGTATCAATGCAATGTTTGGTGTACCCATGACATACCTGAAAGCGAGAGAAATCTCAATGTATCCTCCCTGGTAAAATATTTTATAAATCATTAAATAAATGCATAAATGAAACTAAGTATATAAATAGTGATGCACTGGATGTAGTAACATTTGTGACTAACACTGGACATACACCATTTTGAACACCCTGGGTTGTCTACTTATTCAAATGGTATGTCATGGTGGGCTGCCATACCATCTCAAAGGCAACATAGCCAATCTGGCAATAGCAATTTACAAAAACAGAAATTAGCAAATCTTATGTTTGACCTGTAACTTTCCAAATCACCATAAAACCTGTACTTGAGGGGTACTGTTGTACTCGTGAGACATTACTCTACACAAATATGAGTGTCGGTGAAATGGCAGTTTATTTGTGAAAAATGCAAAAAAAAATGTAAATGCTAATTTTGGCCAGGGTTTGTGACTAAGTGGCTATTAAAAAAGACTGGACATAGTCTTGGATGGACGATGACCAGTTGTGATAATTCCAAATTGGAAAACTAGAATGCACACCCTCCAAATAAGATCTTTTAGCCCCCCAGAGAACCTGAACCTGATTTTTTTTATTTTTTTTTATTTTACATAGATTGGTGGTAAAATGGTTGCATGAAAAGAGTCAAAATACCCAAAGTGTAATACCTTAGGTTGTCTTCTTTTAAAAAAATATATACATGTGAAGGGTTATTCAGGAATTCCTGACAGATATCAGTGTTACAATGTAACTTTCTTTAATTTTGAAAAAAAAAAAGGGTTTGGAAATAACAAAGTGCTACTTGTACTTATTGCCCTATAACTTGCAAAAAAAGCTAACATGTTAACATTGGGTATTTCTAAACTCAGGAAAAAAATTTGAAACTATTTAGCATGGCTGTTTTTTGGCGGTTGTAGATGCGTAACAGATTTTGGGGGTCAAAGTTAGAAAAAGTGTGTTTGTTGAAACATTTTTCATCATTTTTTATATAAAAAAAATTATAGTAAATTACATGATATTATGAAAATAATGGTATCTTTAGAAAGACCACTTAATGCAGAGAAAAATGCTATATTATATGTGTGGGTACAGTAAATGAATAAGAGGTAAATTACAGCTAAACACAAACACCGCAGAAATGTATAAACAGCCCTGGTCCTTAACGGTAAGAAAATTGAAAAACAGTCTGGTCACTAAGGGGTTAACCAGATATTATGATACAAAACTGCGTTTCTTAACAAATTAACAACAATGAAGCACTTTTAATGAACGAAATTGACAACGTACACCACTGATTTATGGAAAGAGAATTTAACCCCTAAACTACAGGGACACACACAGTGGATATATAATTATGCTGAATCACAGCCTCAATCTGAAACAATCCAAGCAAAGTAAGAGTTCTATTTAATCCTTGCTTCAGCTGAATCAATAAATGCAAATAGTCGCAGTCCTGAAATGCATTGTGAACCGGAACAACCATTATTTGTTTGCAAGGAACGTTGCCAAACCCACAGATTCTTTTAATTTCTACTGATACGCCAACCCACAAAAATACAAAGAAAAGGGACTTTTTTTTACTTTACAGACCAGAGACATCCAAGTATTAAATTCTTCCTATTGACGTGAGTCCTGCCAATGCCAACAACCAAACAACCATTAAAACTATTCATATGTTGCTTCACCAAAATACAGCAATCTCTGCATTATATTAATCTGTTAAAGCTTGCCAGCTGGAAGGAAATCTCAAATGAAATGGTATTACCGAGAAACTGAAAACATTTTTTATTTTATTTTATTTTTACATTAGAAATTGGTATTTTTAATTCATGTTATCTTAGTCTTTATGAACATTGTAATCAAATAAATTGTTGTATCTTTAAGTATTGTACGTTACTCAGTTTACATTATACCATTCCTGGGAAATCTCATTTTAGCCGGAGTAAACTAGATATCTTGTGAATAGTATTACTGAGAAGCTGGAAACATGTAAACAGACCAACTGGTTCTCCATTTTTTAATTTTTTAATTTTTTTTAAAGGAATACTATACTAAACCACTAAACTACTGGAAATTCTACCCAACTAGAACAATCTACTCCTGAAAAAGAACGTGAACAGGATCACAAAGATAATGTACCTTTAAATACAAACAAGTTTAAAACCTAACCAACGATACAAGTATAAAAAAACAGGAATTAGAACAACCGTATTTGTTCATAAATTACATTTCAACTAATTAAAATCTCTTTGGTAAACCAGAAACAGTATAAAAATTGACTCAATGTCCAGGTCTGCTATCGGTTTACCACGACCAAAATTCTAAAACCCAGCTAAGAGCATCATCACATGGGACACGGAGCAACCATCATTATTAAATTCATCATTTAGTGACGCACCAGCCATAACATTGATAAATGAGGAATTTTATTTATTAACCCCTTAGGGACCAGGCAATTGTACACGTTCTGATCAAAGCAAAATGTAAATAAAATCTGGAATTTGTGCCTTATGTCTGTTTAACCCCTTCAGGACCGGACTGTTTTGGCCCTGTTGTACGTTAAGGACCAGGGCTGTTTTAACACTTTTGTGGTGTTTGTGTTTAGCTGTAATTTTCCGCTCTCTCATTTACTGTTCCCATACAAATTATATATTGTTTTTTTTCAGCACAAGAAGGGCTTTCTTTACATACCATTATTTGTATCATGTCATATAATTTACTTTAAATCTTTTTATAAAATACGGTGAAAAATTGAAAAAAAAAATGTTTTTTGAATTTTAATTGAAAAATCTTTTACTCAGTGCTTACATGATTTTTTGTGTGCAAGTTATAGGGCTATAATTACAAGTAGGATATTGCTGTTTCAAATATATATATTTAAATTTTATCAATAGTGACATTGTAACAATGTTATCTGTCATAAATCTCAAAATCACACCTCGGCTATCGCCGTCCCTTGACCCAAATCAGCCAATAGCAGGATTTACTGGGTTATTTAAACCCAAACCTGCAGTTGTTCAGTGCCCGGTCGTGGTTTCCATCCTGTTGGTTATCCGAGAGTGCGTTCCTGATTCTGATATTTGTTTTTTGATCTTGGCTTGACGTCCCGTATTTCTGGTATCCCTGACCCTTTGGCTTTGTTCTTTCCATATTTGTTCCTTTCTGTATTCCTGACCTCGGCTTGTGACTGTTTATTCTATTCCGTTAAATCCGGCCATTCTGAGGCCCGGTAATACGTTGTTAGTGTTTGTATTTATTACGAGTTTTCCTTAACTCTGCGTGTTAGGCCACTGACAATGTATATATTAATAAAAAAATACGCTTAATATGACATTATATATACAAGATATATATACATATTATATATAGATATAATATATGTATATATATCTGATATATATACATATATTATTATTATTTTTTTATTTACTAACATTTTTTTTTCCAGCAGCAGGGAGACTGCCTGACAGCACAGGCAGTCTCCCTGCAGGCAGTCACATTCGACATCTATTGCGGCCACGTGACCACTCTGTTAGAGCAATCACATGGCCCGCAGGGGTCTAATTTGCCGAGGGGGGACTGTCTGGGCTGTCAGGCAGTCCCCCCAGACCAGGAGCAACGGCGATCACATCGGTCCTCAAGGGCTTAATTCACCTCTTTCATGTTAAGTGCATCCACACTTATTATATATCATTTTGTTCAGGAGAAAGAGGGCTTTCATTGTATATCACATATTTATATATGAAACTGTAGAATATTACATATTCAAATATTCCTATTCAAATACATAGTAAGGTATGGATGTCTAATAGATTAAAAAGAACAGATGGTACTTTGCTACTATGAGAACTCTGGAATGTGGTAATTGAGGGTCATGTCCGTATATGGCTAGAGTTATATTCAAAAGGTCTGACGCCATTATGGTCATAGCTACATAAAACAGTGGACAAAGGACAACAAGGCTTGTTGCTTCTTGTCCGGCTGTTCTCTAGAGTCTAACTCTCCCTTCAGGTGTCCAGCAATTACCATCTGCTGTTGAACATCCATTATCCTGTAACATCCTTTGTTGTTTTATTATGTATCCGTAACTGTAAGAATAAACCTGAATAAACCGGAAGTCAGATTGCGTATCAGTACTTTTGGTTAATATAGATCTATATTAACCTGGTGAGCCTTTAACCCAAGCAGATATATGTACAAGAATTATTTCAATTACCCTTGAAAACATAAATTAAGATATTACAGAAACATAATTTAATGTGACTAATATGTAAAAAAGTGTGAGAAATTAAAAAAATGCTGTTATTTTTTAAGTTCTGCATGACATTTTAACTGTGAATGTCATAACACTGTTAGATTTTATTGCAATAAAACACACATATTTGTGTTCAGCGATGTCTCACGAGTCTAGCAGTATTCCCCCATGTACAGCTTTTAAGGGTTTTCGGAAACTTACAGGGTCAATTATAGGGCTTTCCACATTTCCATTTCTACTTGCACATTTTTATATAAGTGATTATGCGAAGGTGTAACATTCTGATTAGACAACTTGGTAACGTTTAAACATGTTCTGACAATGCAAGAGTAAATTAAAGGTTAATACTTTTTGGTACATGCTATATACTTAAAAGTTCAACATTTATTCATGAAAACAGGCTTAGGTTATTCTATGCTCGAGGCGTGTGCTGGGCCTGAGAATTGGTGCCTCTTCTACATGTGTACTCGCTATAACAAGTT